ATTAATTTATAAAGTCTGACTAGAGTTCATGCAGACAAGAAACCCGTCCTTACTTGTGCTCAGACTAAGATTCTGAATTGATTTAAAGTATCTGTCCGATCAGTTTCTGAGAAAAATATGCAAAATTGGGCACTCATATTGTTGTACATACCTTTTAAAACCAAGTTTAGAAAGGAATAGAACTCTCATATTCATTAAAGGTAAAAACAGTTAAAATCGATGGTTCCGGCTCAAATCATCTCATCCGCAAGGAGCAAATGTTGTGGAAAATGAGCACCTAACACTCGTCCTAAAGCGAATATAGCTTCTTAGTTTTCTATTTTTCTATTTTGTTTTTGTTTTTTCTAACATGACAGGCCAACCGATTGAAGTGATTGGTTCACGCTCGGACGAAGAAAATTTCAATTCTAATAGCGAATATTATAAGGCGGAATCAATAAGCGCGTATCCTGGCGCTAATAACGTGCAAATACCTGGAATACCCGTACCGGCAGTACCCTCAGGCGGATACACTTCGCTGGCAAGAGCGGCTCAGCAATACAATGATGTATTACCGCCTCCGCCAACTCCACCAATTTTTGGCTTAAACAATCCTCTTACTAACAGTAATATACATCATAATCTGAATACTGGTTATAGCGCTCTGACAACGGCTGGTAGTTACGAACCTAACACTGGCCTAACTGGCAATTATGGTACAAATTCTTATAATAACAGCGACGGTGGGGGCTCAGCGACAACTATGCGGCCGCTTATGCCTCCGCCCCCTATACCAACTTCGGTAGACTCTTTAGATACCTCTAGCTCGGGGGGCGGTGCGGGTGATTTTAATTCTACTTGGGATATGAATATGAGTTGGACGAATCCTTTAGATTCTTCAACTGCTTCTACCTCTTCTTATGGTCAAACCCCGATAGATACACCAGTTTCACCGCCGCATTTTGACAGAGAACCGCTAAACAGTGCTGCGGCTCCTTTAGAATATTCCGAACATAATAGCTCACTGGGAGCAACACAAGATGTTGATCATCGTCAGCTGCATTTACCACCATTTGGAAAATTGGGGCTTAGCAAAGGTTTCTATAGTTTTATTTTGAGATTAATATATATGAAATAATTTGATTTTAAAAATCAGAGAAATCCCGTCAATTGGATATTGATCATAGGAATTTAATATCATTAACCGGTTCACCGGGAGCAAATGATCTTGATAAAAAGTCTTGGTTATCAGCGTCGGCAGATGAGGTAAATTTTTCAAAAAATAAATTAATTATAATATAGTTTAAAATAAAATATTTTTTTTGTAGTTTAAATCCTTGTCATCAAGTGACGTAGATTATCGTAGAATCGGTCAAAATATTAAAACTATTGAGACCACAGCGTTGCCTTCAATTACCACGACTACAAGTGCTACTACGACTAGTGATGTTTCTGAGGAAAATAAAGCTTTTTCCGGCAAAGTGAACGTTAGTTAATAATATTATTTTGATTCCAATATATATTTGCATTAATCATTTTAAAAATTATTTTTACAGGAGACTTCCATCGCTTCACCACAAAAAGATAATAAAAGTAAGTTGTTTACTAAATTAATGACAATCAATGAAATAATTCAATCTGATAAATTTTATAGGCCCTTCTGCGGATTCTCAGAAAGATGATAAAATAGCTAGTGGAGGTACGAGTTATGATCCTACAGATATGGTTGTTGATATGGACATGTCTGATGATGATCTTGAAGATATATTTAGAGGTTTGCTTATATTAGTTTTTTATTTTCTTTCCGATTTATTTATTAAAAAAATTTATTTTCTGAATTATTGCGGAGCAAATGTAATTTTTGTTTGTTTGCTGCATCTAATTATAATTTTTTGAAATTTTTTTTGTTCGTTACATTCAACTAGATCAAGTATATTCCTAAGTTAATATAAAACATTCTTTGCAGTGCACTTTTAAAAGTTATTCATTGAAATGAAATGTACAATTACATCTATTTTGTCTCTCAGAGGTAAATGATCAAGAAAATGAGCAAACAGAGAGCCAGGAGAGTAAAACTACAATCGAAGATGCAACAAATAAAGAGTCAACGGAATCAGCAGAACAAGTGAGGCCACTCGTGAATCCACCACTTCTAGAAACACCGACTGAATATGGACCGCCAGGTGTGTGGGAAGCAAATATGCCTGGTGTACCTGGTGTAGACAATTTCGCTAATAGTAATAATGGAGGAGATTGGAATCAACCAACGCCATGGAATAACAGCATAGGACGCGGAGGCGGTCTCATTCCGCCCCCACCTCGGCCGCCTTTTCCTCATATGCAATTCCCCTATCCAAACGGCAACGATAATGCGAATCCGTTCGCAGGTGGTCCCATGGCCAGAGGAAGACGTGGTGGCGGCATTCGAATTTGGACTCACAATCAGTATCGCCCTTTCCCTCGACCTTCGCGGGGCAGTGCCATCGGCGCGCCGTATTTCAGTAGGGGTGCTCCGCGCGGAACCAAATTCAGAGGAAATTTTCGAGGCAAAAACACTTGGATATAATTGTTTAAATATGTATGCAAAGAGGGCATTGCAACGCCGTTTTAATTTTTAATTCAATATCACACAACATTTTATAGCCTTAGCAGCAGATGATAATATAAATTGTGTTAATTTATTTCAATTTTATTAGAAATTTTTCAGCTTATCAAGAACACAAAAAGATATACAATGGAAAAGTTAAAAAGAAAAAACCGTTTTCAACTATTACTAATTCTATGAGAAGCTTTTAAATTTTAATGATTTTTTTAAAAATTGAAATGTATTAACGTTTTTTGGTTAAAAGTCAATTCTTTACTATTTTTTCTCTCCGCGTATCATACGTTCACTTATAAAGGAAACGATCTTGATATGCGATTTTAAAGAGAAACAAATTAATTACAGTAGATTCTCCAGCCGACGCTGTTGCTCTTTTGCGATCAGTATTCTTTTAAGCTTTGTGCTTACAAGGAATACTCAAAAAAAAGTAAGGGCATGTAATACAATGCAAGAAATGAAGATCGGCTGGAAAATCTATAAGCATTCATTCTCCTTTTATTTAAAAAATATTGAAGTCTTGTATAAAAACTCTCGAAGTCATTTATTTTCTTTCATCTCAGTTTGAATTTAACAATTAGTTTTAGATAATTCTCTTGCATATAAGTAATGTTCAATCTATAATGAATATATAATTTCGTAAAAACAAAAAAAAAAAAAAAACAAAAAAAAAGCTTAAGTTTCGGAAAGAAAACAAGAATAGAAATGCTGCTACGTAGACTTTTTGCTTCATGAATATTATTGTATCAATCAATAAAAGGTTTTAAAAACATATACATATATACATACTTATAAAACATATATTAACCATTTTAATCTTTTTGCATTTATTTGAGTTGTTGACGTTGTAGTTAAGTTCAAGTTATTCCTGCGCACTCACTTGCCCATACGAAGGCGTAAAATCTTAAAGCACTAGCACATCTAATGCTATCGGCTTTATTGAAAACTCTACCGCTCGTGAGATTTAAACCCGCGATCACAGAGTTATTAGTTGAGACACTATAAAGTCGTTTTAATTTTGACTTTGCAAGACACTTTTCTTTGCGTCAAGAAATATTTTGTTAAACAAACCGGTTTCTTCCGAAGAATCAAAAAACAGGAAAGGGAACCTACGTCAACCTCTATAAATACATTTCGAATGTCCATCAGGTACTCAATTTTACATTGTATTTAAAAAATCATAAATTGGACATTGGACATCCGGAATTCCAAGCTAAACTTACAAACTAATAATTAAAATTTTGTGGCTTCAAACTCTTAAATTGTAAGAAATTTTAAATATAAGAACTTTTCTGCTTGTTTTCTGCATTTGAAAATTCCTGGCTTTCTATTTTATATGTGTCTGAACTGCAGACAATAATTTGCGCTTTTCTGTATGCCAGCTCTAAAGTCTAGCTTGAAACAAACGAGTTAATGCAAAATATATGAAGTATGGTATATTTGATCAAAAGGTAGCGACTTTCATCATTCTGATTGCAATATCCAAATGTATGCTAGCCGGGGCATCGATGTCTTAACAAATATTATAAGTTGTAATATTGATGGATGGATATGGTCGCGTCCGATGGTTTATGTTGAAATTCGACATAATCACTGCAACTATGATAGAAAGTGATGCTACTTAGATTCTTAGCTGAATGACGATGACATCGATGCAGTTTTCCAACATAATTTGTGTATCTATCAAAAACATTTATATACTCAGTTGCAAGAGTAAGAGTACCCGTATTTCGTGTTATGATTTAAAATATTATTAGCAAAGTTGGAGCATCCTAATATTATGAAAATTGACTCTGATAAATACAACGCTCCTACGTGTTTATAGTGTGCCTTTAAACCGAATATATCCGTGGCATAATACAGTCCGATTCTGTCTACCTGCATAGTACATGATGTCCGATTTTTACTATGCTTTTCGATTAGTTGATAATATTATTGTCTGCCTTATTTGCAGGGTGGGGCGAATTCCGCTCTTCTATTTGCGGTAGGTTGTAGGATGTGTATATTTGTGTGTTACGATCAGAATGACTAGAGCAGTTTTGCCATTTGTAATATCAACAAACGCATCTTAAATTCTAAACCAATAATAATAAGCTTAATCACCTTTCAATAACAACAAATTTCGTTGTTCATATATTTGTCGAAAAGTGAAATACGTTAGTCATATTCATATCGCCATTTAATTTATTGCGATCTAGCTATTGCTATCGGCAAAATCTGATTATGATCAAGTAAATTGGTCTACCGTGCAATTCCTTTCGAAGCAATCATTAAATTTTTCACTCAATACTGAACAATATAGATCCGTATCTATCCATATTTTTCACATTGATCGTGAAAGACGAGAATGTTGCACAAATACTAATACACGTTCTTACATATTTGGCCACCAAGGTTGAGGTGCGTAAAAAAGATAAAACCTAACTCAGCTATACTTAGATCAGTTCCACAGATCATGCGATCAAACCCGCTCAGCAATCTAACTAACATCTAACCTTAATACCGCTTCAGGATGACAAAGGCGTCAACTAACTCATTGAGCTTTCTTATTTTTATCTTGGGCAGGTTGATATTAGTCTATATGATGAATGATCAGCATTCCAATTTAAAATAGAATAAATTTATTGTTCAAGATGCAGATGCAAGTCAAGGCAAAAGTATCTCGAACAAGTAGAAAACAGTTTTCTTAAAGGCTAGTTATCAGAGAAAAGATTTTTTTTAATTGTAAATTTTTTTTCGGCTACTCGAAGTAGGCCAGGTACACTAATGGATCGTGTATAGGGCAACCGTGTCAGATTTTTCTTTTTCTCCCGAGCAGATATCTATCGATCATCTTTTCAATGTGTTAAAAACGCAATAGAAAAACTCATGTATTATCAGTAGTAGGCGAGAAGGTAGACTAAATTTCAGTTTGTTAACATATTGACATATGATCTGAGCAATTACGGGGTTTGTCTTCAATTCCACAAAAATATATCGTCAGTTAGCGATATATATAGCTTGAGAGTCGGTTTGATTCTGGCATCTCGATGTCAAAGGTATTTCTTGGCTACTGCGGTATTTTTCTGATTATAAGAATCTTTTTTTAAACTTAATGAAGAAATAAAAATACCCTACTAATCGAGTGAGTTATTTGTATTCGATTAGTTGTGATGTGCAACGTTTAATTTAAGATTTAGAAAACATTATTTTTTTTTTTCCGAAGTTTATCAACGAACTTTATATTTGAAAAGATCAAATCTCTAGTCATTACGTCGGTACAGTCTACGATAGCAGCTATTCGCTAAACGGTGCCAAAATAAATTGACGTAAATTAATTTTCTTTTCTTTTTTTTTTTTTGATTGTTGTAATTGTTAATACTTTCTGTATTACAAATAATTATAAAATTAGATATTAATTTAAATTAAATTATTTCTTATGTTATTTGCTTCTTATTTAATATTATAATTATTTATTGTATTATGAATTAATTATAGGTTAAAATTAAAGTTTGTCTTAATGTGTTCGAAATATAAATTTTCTTTTTATAAAAGATATAAAAAAAAAAAAAAAAAATAAGAGAATATAGGATAAAGTTTTTTAGACGATTTAGTAGAATAAATGTAAATATGTATATATTGAATATATATAAATTAAATGTATATTTACACACTACATCACTTGTATGGATATATGCAATGCCCCGAAGGACTTTGAGTAGATCCATTTATTTATTTGTTAATACATTCAGAATCCCTTTTTGCAACAATCTAAGATTGTCTGTCCGTCTGCCTATTTGCCTTGCTTTTGACGAAATTTAATACACCGACCATTGCTTTGGTTCACGGACGAATGCTATTGGCTATGGTTCGGATCGGACCACTTTTTCGACCACTTGCCATATATTATGACTTGTTTGTGTTGAGTGGTGTAGGGTATTTGACGGTCGGCCCTGGCCCACTAGTTTTTTTTTTTTTTATTTGTTAATTGTGTATTATAGATAAAAGTGTTATGACATTTTAAATTTTACTTTAATAACAATCAAAATCATGTAATATATAAAATTTACATAGTAATTAAGTTGAAAAAAAAAGATCAAAATAAAATCCGACATTCTGTACTATAATCGTGTTAGTTTCACTCCTAATCGACTTATTTTTAATTGTTACGCATACACAAAAACATCTATACATTTATTTATTTTAATTTATTTTCCATTTACCAGCAAAAGCAATATTTCGTGTGTTTTGAGAAAACACCTACCACTTAATTTTATTTAAGAATCCTTATGCCTGTCAGACTAACTAGGAAGTCAGCAAAACAAACAAATACCGCTTAAGTGTGGTTATTTTTAAGATTGTTTGATATTGTTGGTGTGCGGTTGGTGGTTGGTTTGATTGCCTTTAAGTTATGATTAAAACACTGTAGTAAATCTTTCATTTCCTGTATTTGTATGTACCTTTCAGTTAAATAAGAACTCATTAATTTACTATTTTGTGCATAATTTATTTACATTAAAATAAATTTATTGGGTTGGCCATTAACGAACAGTAATTTATTAAAATTTTTTTGTTGCCGGCTTATCACATGTGCATCGAGCACTGAGAAGTGATAATACCTGCAGTACACTTATAACGCTTGCATAAATTGCATAAAGTGCATAAAATACATATATACTTAATAGGAACTGTACTGCCCCCTCCCACAATAACTTATGAAGTATACAAATATGACTTTTTGGTAACCGCGATATGTTTCTTTTTTTTTTTTTTTTTTTGAATAATTCTCTCTTTCTTTTTTAATAGCTTGGATATACAGCAATAACAAGCAGCCTTAATATCGATACATGTCGCAACACAAAAATCCTTTTCGCTAGCAGAGAAAATGTCGAGTTTTGTGGCAAATCAAGAACATTCGATTTCCGTTTTGCCCAAAACGATTCAAAAGAAAGTCTCCCAACAGTAGATGAAAAATGCATTTATCTTGAGAATACCAGGCATAAAAATTTCTGGGTATATCCAGACATGCGATACACATCAACTGCGAAATTGAATCGCTTTGACAAAAGGATGATGAGTGTGTGTTTGACCGATTCGAAATGTCCGCTGATCGAGAAAGGAGCGAAAAAACAGAAATGGACAATGAAATGTCTTTGCGTGACATTACGTGTCCGTTCATCCAGACGGCAGAACTGGTTCACGATAGTTTGAAAATGGGGCACATAGTCGTGCCGAGTTTATCCGAGTACTACTTCTTTGCATTACCTACTAAGCCGCACGGATCGATGATTGGTTGTATGTAATGTATTAAGACGAAGATTAAATGCATATTATGTTGCTATAAAGTGTGCATTTAATTTATTATCTACAAATTCCATCTTTGCCCATCCAATATATAAAGGTTGGGTTATGTTTATATGTCTTTCGTAAACGTTTTTCACATTTTTTTACTCTCGATCGCAGATAAGGACGGAATCGTTCTTTGTTATTGCCATCTATAGTTTATATCCATAAAATTTGCAAATGTTTTTTTTCCTAACAGCAACGATACAATTTTTTCTATATAATTTGTTTTAAAAGCCGTAAAAACTTTTTCTGCCACTTTCGTTATATATTTTTTTTTTTTAATATGAACCAATCATGCAGGGCATGATCCTTAATCGCGACCACGGTAACTGAAACAGAGGTGAGGGAAGCAGCCTTCTTCCTGCCGGCCTAATCGGTAAGTGTTATGCTTTTACCGATAAAGTATTACGCACTACAGTTACAATCAAAGTGAACTCTACCGCACTTGAGAAGCTTTTAAGTTGATTGGTAGTCGCGATTCTTATCAACTGGACTACTTATGCATGTAAAAATATGCTTAATACAATGCTCATATAAGGCGTAACATAAGAAGTGGTTTAAAAAGTAGTCTGATCCGAACCATTTTCATTTCAGCGTTCGTCTTTGCGTCAAAACTTGTATTGTACAAAATTTCATCAAAATATCTTAACCCTTTGCACTCGAGAGCTCCTGAGCGGAGTCATTTAAAATTGGTCTTCAAACTCGAGGGCTCCGCTACGGAGACATTGGAAACAATTTGCAGTTCTTAACAGAAAAACAAAAACAAATCATAAAAACTAGTATTCGGGTATTTCACTGTTGGTGGCAAATGAAGGTCGCGGCTCGCGGATTGTAATACGAATTAAAAAAAAAATTGGAGTGCAAAGGGTTAATATTGTCTTCCTTGATCCGCCTGTTTGGTATGGTTTTCAAGCTGGTGGCATTGCCTTTAGAAATGAATATCTCGTTGTTGCATACGAATTTTTCATGACCTGAATGAAAAAATCAATTGATAACTTGATAAGATGAACGATGCCGACATCACTTGGGTTTTACCGAACAATGAGAATATCCGAAAGCAAAACGAAAAAAGAAATTTCTCTACTCTAAAATATTGGTTGGGCGTGACTAACCTTTTCATTTTTATAAGCGTGGAAATTTTTGACCGCCCATCTATTGCAGGTTATGAGCAATGAGCAAAAAACTTGGCAGAAAAAAGGCAGAGATAATCTCAGTTTACATTGCATTATGATAATGTCTTTTAACCAATTTGGGCCGTATTCGACATGAATACAAATTTGCTGGCGCTATTTCGATTTTGGCGAATGGAAGAATGTTTAGCAAAGACATTATGCAGGAGATCAGAGGGACGGATGGATAGCCGAGCAAATGTTAGATGGACAGGCGAAAAGGCGAACATGCTTAAATCGATTCAGATTTTGATGCTGGCCAAGAATAGAAGCACTTTATGGCCAAACCCAACATACACCCATCATTTGGTCCCGATTGCTTTTTCCCAACACTTTTGCGTTTATTTTAAAGGACATCATATCGCTCTTGCTGAAAAGCTATATATTTTACAAGTACAGAATATAAATCTACCATATTTGATTAAAAAAGTAAACGTGACTGTACTTTTTTTTTAAAGTAAATAAGAATACGTTGTGATAAGTACAATGAACGTCAACTTTTATTCGTCAATTCGTTGTTTCAATGTTCGTTTAGAATCCTATGGTAGTTTCTTTTAAATTAAATTTTTTCCTTATATTGATAAACATGGTTTTTGTTCTCATCTAAGCGGTGACTTGAATCATTAATTTTTTATTTTTAATTGGATTTTTCCCAATATCTAGATGACGTACGGACACGGTATGGTTTCACTTCGAAAACCATATTATTTATTAGAAAAAAGTAGCAAACAAAATATTCAAAAATTATTATCATTTTATGTACATTTATTTATTTTGCAAGTGTATAATTAATAATCTCTAGTTAATAACTTAAGTAAATCGCCGATATACGCTTGAGCCATTTGTAATGTTTCATATTTAGAGAGGCGACGATCATTACCCAACGACGGCACCACGTCCCGTAGCTTATCGAAAGCCTCGTTTAGACTATTCATGCGTCTGCGCTCACGAGCGTTTGCCGCTAGTCGACGTTTACGCAACACTTCTTGAGAGCAAGTTATCCCGCTATGTGTTGCTTTCTTTAAATTGACCTCTGATGCATTAACTGAACTATTTTGAGTCTTACTATAAGTATTCAAGCGATTTTGATATATCATTAATTGTTGATTACATAAACGATTTTGATTGATTTTTCGATTCTTTTCTAATGCATTCTTATTTAATGCTCTGTTTGTTTTCCCACATTTCCATGCCTGCATTATGTCACATGATTGTTGATTACTGTAAAATGTTTGTAATTCCACGGTCGCTGACGTTGTTGTTGTCAAAGAATTTCCCAAAATTAAACCATTATTTGCATTAAATTCCAAATTGTAAAAATTCGTATCGAAATCTTCTTCCGAAATACTATTACAATGTCCCGGTACACTTTTGTTACTATCCGTACTAAAACAACTATCCGCGATATTATTAAGATTTAAATTATTATCATAATAAAATTCTTCGACATAATCACTCGATAACATTATGTTAAATATTTTTATTGATATTATTATGATGTGCTTCAGCATTAAAGGATTTCACGCGACTGCACTTCTCTCAGCATCCTTTGGTGTCTTTTATAATTGATACGAACTTGTTTGCAACTTCATCATGATTGGTTTAAATCGTATTTATTTTCAAGTCAATTTACCTGCCACAGGTCAATTCTGATTCGTTCGTTTATCTCTTCTTCAATTCGTTCGTACTCCCTTCCACTCATTTATTGATATTGCAATTTTGGTTTGCCGTCATTCGTGTTTTGCGAGGATCTTTTTCTTTGTTTGCTAATATATCGCATGCATGTGTATAGTACATTGTCATAACAAGTAGTATTGTTATTAAATTAGCTTGCGGTCAAAACGTTTATTTATTTGTTTTTGTTTTTGTTTTTTTTGTTTTTATTGTAAAATAACCTATTGTTACAATATTTTGTAAGACATAGTGTTATGTCTGAAGACGATTAAAAAAAAATTTACATTGGAATAATTTTTTATATCCTACCATCGAAACATGAGAATATATTAGATTTTTCATAGTCGTTGTAACCTCCAGAACGAGTAAACGCCAAGGAAGGAGTAAAGTATTTACAATTGTTTATCATCAACGAACCTACAATTTTAATATGTCCGTCGCTCCGTTACTTGATAAAATCTAAATTCAAATTCTTTTTTAGAAAATTCCAACTTTCCGTCCATCTATCTAATACTTAATGAAGTCCAACGTTAAACTGCCTTTAGAAAATTTTACTTTTAAAATACAAGTCTGATCGCCTACTAAAATTCATAGTAAATACTAGATCTGATATAAGACAAAAAGCGAAAGTGATTATCTAGAAAGTATACAGTTACAGTTACAGTTTGAACATAGGAAAGGCAAACAAAATTCGTCGTTTGACTTAAAAAAATTATAATTGTGATAATTTAATGCTCCAACATTTGCTGTAGCAATATCAAGGTCATAAGGGAATAATAGAAACCATTGCATCGCCACATAACGTATTATTTTATATATTTTTGTGCTTCGTTTCACTTTTGAAAGGAAAGTATTCTTTAAAAGTAGGTTTCACAGACTATTCATATAATTGACGATTTTCTTGTAAAGCAAACCGCACACACTTCAAAAAAAACTTCACAAACTAAATAATCCTTATACGATGGATAAAGGGTGTGATCAAATTTTGAAAATGATCATTTCCTTTGAGTATGAAATCGTAGCTTAGAAATAGATACAAAAATAAATAACGACAACTGTTCACTGTGCACTTTGCCGGAATTCTTGAATACTCGCCAACTTACTTGAAATGACGGCTCTGCTTGTATTAGAATTTGGGAAAGTTAATTCACCTACGTCGTGGATTATTGATTAATCCTTTGCACTCGAGGTCTCTTCAAACTCGAGAGCTCCGCTACGGAGACTTTGTACATAAGTTTGCAGTTCTTAACATAAAAGCAAAAACAAATCGTAAAAACTAGTATTCAGGTGTTTCGCTGTTGGTGACAAATGACGGTCGCAGTTCGTATGAATGAAAACTTCGAATGCAAAGAGTTAATATATATTAAAATACGCAGGTTTTTATTATTGAAACTTCTGTCAATATTTCAATATATATATATGTATATTTAAATGAACTACGGCCACATTTAAACTTGGTTCGTAAACCGCAAACCATATATGCTCCAAATTTTGACTTTCTCTTCGAATATAAAATCTTATCAACTCCCACAAGCAACCATGGAGGAATGATGTTATGTAAATCAGCTCAGAATCCCACGTTGATCAAATGAGTAGCAAGTGTAGTCTCAGAGATCTTTGATATACATTTCCAACGATTAGAAAAGTAGTGGGGAAACCGTTCTCATATGGCAAATATAAAAGAATATCTCATAAGTAATGCGAATCCTTGATTTATCCACGTCTGCTTATCCACCCGATTGCCTATTATTGATATCCATATATACATAAACTACATCCTCTATGTATATAACAACATTATGAAATGGATCGTTTTGAGAGTGTCACAATGGCCACTTGTGATATATGTATATATATATATATATATATATATATATATATGTATATACATTGCAACCGATTTATTTCTTAATTCATAATATCTGTCATTGTTGACCAAAGTCAGATGGAACTAAGAGCGCATTTTTCAAAGCATTCGTCATATATTCAATAAACAATGTTATGTGATGGGGTCACAAATGAATCATAGGTTATTTATGGTCCCCTTAGATTGAACTTGCTTGAACTGACCTGCCTCACTGTAAACCGTTAAAACGAAAACCGCCCATACGGGATCATCACCATAAGCCTCTGAACGTGTTTGATGAGCGTCGGCAGCAAAATTTCTTCAAATTAAACGACCTAAGCAATGAAGATCGGAAATACAATTTTGAGCGCTCCATGTTGGGCGTTGCCGTACGCTGAATAACTCAACAATATTAAGTGCAGAAAGTTCAAAATCATCGAATTTATTCGTTATGTAGTTTGGCATTCAATTTCAATTTCTCTATAATTTTTTAACTGTGGACGTCGCTTCTCACGTCGCTTAATGCAGGCACCTATTATTATATAATATTATTAATGTATTTTACGCAGCTACTTTATATCATAGTTACCATAAGTAGCGAATGTCCAGTATTTGAGTATTCGTCCCAAAATAGTGCATAAATTTCTTAACATTATTGAATTGTTAATTACATGCACAAAACCTTAACTCGATAAATAGGTTTATGGGTCATTGCAATTATTAGATTTCTTCGGTTGCTGGTAAATATATTGTTGCAGTTCTCTCAAGTATTTAAAACCACATGGAGCCACAACAAAATTGCTTACTATATAAGAAATTTATAATACAATCGACCGCAGTCATGCAAACTTGAAAAAGGGAAAAATGCTTTCTTCTTATAAAATAATTTCAATAATTGCTTTACAAGCAAAATATCGACAATAATCTTTATCAACTTATAGTAAGTAAATCATTCAGTATTAAAATTTCGATTCAACATTGTTTGCTTCTTTTTTTTTTTTTTTTTTTTTTTTACCTTTATTGAACCCAATATAAAATGTAATTTCGAACATTCTTGGTAACGAAATTGGTAACAAAAGCATTATCGTATCATTGTCCTAAGGGTATTTTTCACAATGTCCGGTTAGGTGTTGATCTTTGTTTGTTTTAAATAAACTATATCCTCTCTTTGTCCCATTAAGATAACATGTCAACACTCAACGTTTACACTCACTCAATAGATGGACATTATTGTTTCAATAGTCATAAATGTCAATTGAAAACACTAATGAAGATATTAGTTGAAGAGAAAACGAGCGTTTAATTGATATTTATGTGATGACCCGTTACGCTATGAGATATATTAGTGTTTTTTTTTGTTTTTTTTTTTCTTCTTTTCCCTTAAACATTTTTTTTTTGTTTGACTTCTTATCTAGTCTACCGTTACCATTTCACTTAAATGAATATCGAACAGTAAACATATTAGGAAGCATTTCATTTGCAACCTTTCACTGAGAGGTGTCAATAAAATATTTGAAACTTCAAAACCGTCGGTTAAAAGATTATTGCTTTTAGTGAATTTGATAATTGTAAGGAATTTAAGCAACGCGTGTGCCAAACTCACTTATTGATCTTCTATAACAGCATAAGGCTCTTTACATATATGTTTTCTTTTTGTTTTTTTCAATACGAATCTTATTTAATGGGCCAAGATAAGGCACTCCACGAATAATTTTGCTTCATCCTATTTATAAATAACCGAAACTTTTGTAGGCGGTTCAGGCAACTAAATTATGGTAGGTCCAGGGGTAACATTAAAATTCAAGGATTTTTAACTTTTCTTCAAGGTAACTGTGGAATTCAGAAAAGCTCTTCGCTATAGAAATGGCTAACCGACTTGTGCCGACTTGTGCACCTACTAAGCTTCTTTTTACTCTAATGTATACTCTTTCTTAGGTATAATGTAAGGTAGATTATGTATATATATATATAACATTTTTGATCCACAAGAGCAAAACAAAGGAAAGTACAAATACAAAATTACATATATAGTATAGTAGTATATTGTGTGTGTAATGTTTTTGAGGGGATTGGTCTTTAAATTTTATACCCTCGATGAAAGCATGAAGGTGTATTAATTTTGTTAAAACGTTTGCCAAGCCCAGAAGCAACACATCGCCATTAAACTTTGACCCGATTTAAGCATGTTCGCCTGTCCATCTGTTCGTCGGACCATCTGCGTAATATCGATGCTAAACAATTCTCCATTCGCAAAAGTAAGTTAAGTAATTGCCTACAAATTTGCAAAAATATTAGAACTTCTTGGAAGCAGCTTAGTACTGAAAATAGGCCAAGCCATCACCGCTGCTCTTTGGGCTTTTCCAGATGTATCCCGTTCACACTATATTATAGACTACAGTAATACAATTTTTTTTCCCAAGGACGAATCCTCTCGATCAGATCGGACCACTTTTTCGATCACTTCCTAATGTCATTATGTCATTATTTAAAGGAGGCAGGGTAATGTAGAATAATAATCGGTGAAATGCGGCCCACTATAGTGTTTTTACTTGTTTCTCTCAACATTTAATACAATCAAGGAAATTTATCCTTAGATTTACAAAGCAATTTAAATTCTGAAAATTACAAAGCAATTACGAGAACTCAGTATTGCACCACAAATGAAAACAACACAATACAACAAAAACGAATAATAGACATAGAAAGAAAGAAATACTGAAGAGTGTTAATATTGTTTCTCAGCAATTTAGCGGCTAAATAAAATTGCAAAACAGAAACCAAACCAAGGATTAATATCCGAATAAATAACTATTGTTTAGGAGGACAATAGCACTATCAAATAGAATTGAAGTGTAAAAAATCAAAAAGTCAAAATTTAAGTCAAACACTCCTTCAAATATATCCAAAATTCATTGGCTACACATAAATGCATCAAGCAAAACAGAAATTTATATTTTTCTCTAATACTAGTTAGACCTCAATAGGATTTTCACAAGCATCTGTGCGAACGTGTATTTAAGGTATGCCTCGCCACATTTTATGTAACCTGTAATTAACACATAAGCCTTCTTTTGTATTAAAAGAACGATCTCTTATTGTTTAAAAGTATTCTTTGCGGTCGCGTGGCATTACTTGACATTAAACCATCGATCAACAAAGATCACTATTTCAAAACCAGCAAAATTATATAGCTTTTCTTTTGTGCAATGTTGCTTTGTTGGAAAATTATCTATAAAATGTTGCAATCATTTATATGCTTTAGTTATGGTTGGCGTTCAAATGTCTGCAGAAAAATCTTTTCTTTTTTTTTTTTAAATATATAAAAAAAAAATTCCAGTGAATACTATCAGGTCATGTAAGTAGCGAATTTTTGTTTGCCAGAGCGGTGTATTCTTTGAAGTTTTCTCTTTAAAGATCGCACTCGCTCTTACCGATAGATTAAATCCGTCATATCTTCCTGACGCATGGAAAGAACAATAGGTGAACTTTGAGGATCCTTGATCGGTATAAAGAGCGCTTTTTTTTGGCGATCAAAACTATCGAAAGGTTTATAGGCCTAACGGTGGGACTGTGAAAAACATTAAAAATACCTCTAACCATTCGATTTGTGACTTTGCCTTGTCGAAGAATGCACCCACAGTTTGAATTCTAGCTTTATTTTCTTAGAGAAGGGTAATGACATCTTATTACGGGGAGTAAGTATTCAATGATTGCCTCCTTTCAGTAGTAAATGTTTTCATCTAGAGCGTTAATTACGATAATCATAAATGTGTCTTTTATTGTAATGCATTGCACTGCCAAAATGGTTTTAACGGAAAAATAACAGAACCTTATTGATCGAAATGACACATACTTGATTTAATGAAGCATGGTTTGAATATGCGTAAGAAAATGTCACACAGATTTTCCTGCACGTGGTAAGAAAATTGTGTCAACGCCACGAATTTTTTTCGTTGAAGCAATATTTTTCAAATCTTCTTCCCGAACCTACAATTGTGGTTACATTCTTACGCCCAAAACAAGTTCTATGTGATTGCTTGAACTTTTGCTTTATTAGAGGAATCACGGATTTCAATAACTAATCCTATAGAGACACTAAAATGGACCACAGAACGCGAAATGAATTTAATTTATTACGTTATTGAAACTATTAGACTCAATGTGTAAGTTGGCTTTTTTAACTAAATCCGATAGTCTATATTGTAAATGTACTACAATTCTTTTTTTTTTTTTTTAGTGTAAAAATTTATTTCATTTGTCTGTTTGTCTGTCGCTCTACTACAGTTATTTATTTCATTTCATTTAAACTTATTAGTTGATAATAACTAATTAATACTAAGTTCGACCACCAATTATTCGGAATAATGCATTTAATGTGATAGTGTGGCAATCAGAACTACCATCAGATAAATAGAATAATCGTTAAATACTTCACATAGTTCATACAAATGGAATATACGCAGTATTTGCAATCTTATAGATCCATTATCTATGGTCCATATATGGAATTTAGAAATAAATTTGTTAACATTCAGATAAATTAATCTTAACTAATCTTAATCTTAATCTTAATTAATTTTCATACCTTACATAAATGAAATATGCACAATATTTGTATTCTTATGGATATATATATATATATATATATATGTGTGTGTGTGTGTGTTACCAATCAGA